TGGGATATTAATGTAAATGACTAAATCCAAAAAAAAATTAAAATTTAGTATGAAAAATGTAATACCAAAAATTGTTGTCTTTAAATATATTTGTATTTTTAAGCAGATTTATTGATACATAAATGTTTTCAAGAAACTATGACACATAAATTGTTCAAAAAGGACAATATTTTGGCTACAATTTTGAAATTAAAGTGCATGATAAGAAGCCAAAAAAGTATGATAATATTTAGTCATACAATTTTGAAAATTAAATTTCATTCAAAATGATAAAAAGAATCTTAAATTTTATTCAAAAAATTTCCTTTATAAGTAAGTCAAGCTATTTAAACAAAAAGTCAATTTTGTACTTTTGAATTAACCATCAACCTCTTTCAATATATATAGATATTGATACAAATATTCCTGTAATTATTAGATTGTGTGAGCACTATAAGATTTTCTTCAGCAAAATTTGGTTATGCCAACTATGTGATTGAATTCCAGAGTATGACTAATCATTATTCATATGGTAACACAATTCTTGGATAAATTATGTATTATTGCAATAATATATTCATGTAATTGTTTCATATTTTAAGAATGAATGTTCTACAATCCCATTAATTAGTTAATAGTGGCTTATTTGTCTAGAACTAGTAAAGAACCCGTGCGATGCACGGGGTGCACAATTTTAATGCTATTTATCCAGACTTATAATTATATACATGAATAAAGAAAAATATACGGGATATATATAGTACGTGACCCGTGCGAAGCACGAGATATATTTATTTGGAGAATATTATATTATAAGATGCAATATTTAACAAAAGTTTATAATACGCAAGAAAATTGTACAATGTTCAATAAAAGTTTTATAATATTCAAGCGGAGTCTTAAAGTCTCTTGTACATTAAGACTACTGATAAAATAATATTTTAATCAATGAGTTTCCTTTCCTTTAGCCTAATTGTGAATGTGATTTGAGGAGTACAACAAATCGATATATAGCTGACTTGTTTTTTTCATTGTAGTTTTTTTTTTCTTTTTTTTATAATGAATTTATAGATATTCTAAAATATAGCAAAAATTATTTTTTTATTACAATTAGAAATTTTACTAAATATAAACTCTCAATCCATGGTGTTAATCAACGTTTAAGTCTAAAAAATTAGGAATTTTTACCACTTTTAATCAACGTTTAAGTCTAAAAAACAGTAGAGTTATTATAAGTTTTTTTTTTCTACATCTTTTAAAACATTAAATATGAGCATGTTAGGGCTAGCTTGTAAAATAATTAATATATTATCTCAGTAAAATATTTATACTAATAAAAATATAATTTTAGCATATAAATTTATCCCTTGATATAAGAGAAAGTAACAATTTTACTTATTGTTGTTCACCATATAATATTTAATTATTATTTTATTATATAATAAAAAAGAAATATTGTTAAATAGTGTAGTAGAATTGTTATAAAATTATATGATTTTTTTCTACAATATGGATTTAATATTTTTTTATGATTTGATAATATAAACAAATCTATACTTAACTTTGACAAATAAAACAAATAAATACTTTAGTAAGTATTTAATGTATATACTAAATAGGGATATATTTGGTATAATCAAATACCAAATATAATCAAATAAGTCAAAGTGTACATTTTTATTTGGTATTTGATTTTTTTATTATTAAAATATTTTTATTATACTTACCTTTTTAAAATAAAACAAATAAATAAATCAATTAAATAAATAAAATATTATAATACCAAAATAGCAATGACATTTAATGCAGTTGACTTTTCTGGATAGTAAATGTAGTAAATAAAATCTCCTTTTATATAAGTATAGATTGTATAGTACGGAAATAGTAATGCAATAAATGTTGTTGACTTTTCTTTATACTAAATCTGGTAAACGGTATACCTTTTTAATATAAGTATAGATGTCTAAAGAATTTTTTAGATTTCAAAAATCATATTGTATTTAGCTTGGATTTATTTAAAACGTTTAAAAGTTTTAAGCATCCAACTAAGATTATAAAAAGTCTTAAAAAGTCTTGAGGTATTTAACTTATTTAACACTAAGATTTATTAGGACATTTTAAGAATTTGTGAGATTTCAATTACAAAATTCATATGAAAAATTCCACAAACAAATCCAACCTATAAGATTAAAATTTATAAGGACCTACATCTATACTAATATAAAAAGGTTGTTGGTAAAATAATTTTTAGTAACTTTGACCAAAAAAATAAATGAGTTGACTTACTATTAGTATAAATTTTGGAAAAACACAAGTAGATCTTTAGTAACAAAATCTAAATCTCATTTTTTTGCAACAAATTTGGAGATTCTTATGCCATAATCTGAATCCTTCTTTTGTTTTGTGTCATTTTTTATTTTTTTTTACCAAATTCGAATCCTATTTTTTTTTGTGACAAGTTTGGAGATTCACGAAAACAAATTCAAATACAAATTAATTTAAAAACCGTGCAAATTGGATACAAATTTAGGAAATAAATAGTTGTATAATTCTTAACATAATCTTTCAATCTTTTTGAATAATTTCTTCTTTAAAAAAATGTGTGCAAATTGGATAAAACCACGTGCAATTTTTATTTTAAAACAAAATTAAAATTTGGACGGGATATACATTTAAAATCGTATCCACCTTTTGGTAACAAAATCGGTTCATCTTTGACATTTAAAATCAAACCTTATTCAATTATTTAGTAAAGAAAAATCAAATCAAATCATGTGCAACTTTTTAAAATTTGAATGAATTGATGTTTTTGGATTGTTATGTTTTTCTTAACCATGTTTTACTGAGAAACAATTGCATAAATCTTAACAAAATATTCCGATCTTTTATTAGAATTAATTTCAATTCAATTTATTTAGTAAAAAAAATCGCTGCAATGTTAGAAAATTTTGGTTCCATTTTTAGGAAGAAATGATGTTTTTTTCCACTTTGTTAACCAAACATTCGGATCAATTTTTTTGGTAAAAAAATCAGTGTATTGGTAGGAAAATTCGGTTACATTTTTAGAAAAAAAAAATGATTCTTCTCAATTCTACTTAATTAAAATTCTGAATTAGAATTAACAAAAATGGTGTTAAAAAACCCTAAAAATCTCTACTTTCTTTCTACTATAATTTTGTTTAATAAATAAGATCCGTTATTTTTTTTTAAAAAATATAATTTGTTAACTAATAACTAATAATACATAATTTTAGACAAAATCCGAACACTCATATAGTATTTTACCTTCCAATGAATCAAACTACGAATGTTATACATAAGAAATTGGTCAATAATATATAAATTTTATTTTCATGATATTTTTAATGTCATCAGACAATTTAAATACAAAAAATATATTTTAAAAACAAAGTTAGTAATAATGTTCTCGTGCCTCGCACGGGTACTGATGGAATAATCTAAAATAGTAATTTTGACTTTATAATTAAATGAGTTGGCTTACTATTAAAAGAAATATTGTAAAAATGACTATAATATTTATAAAAAAATAAAAATCAAATTATACATACTTGTTGTACATCGTGTAATTTCGTTAATAGCACAATTTTCTATATAAATAAAGTGGTGTCCATTTTTAAAATTATTTTGTGATAAATGTCACAATAAAATCCGATTCTTCATATAATTATGAATCACTGGAATTTCTTATTTTTTGGCAACCAATCATACACCATGTCTTCAAAAAAAGCATCTACCAAATAGGTTTTCATAGAAAATATTATTTGGATATGCATGATAAAATTGCAAATATAATTACAAAATAAAAATTAAAAATTAATTATGAAAATCTTATTATGATATCTATTACAATATAACGTTACAATAAAATCTTATTTAAGAACATTAATAACATATCATGATGATTTCTTATTCATTAAGTAACTAACTATATACCTAAATATGTTTTATCGTATCTTAAAAAAATCATTTAATCAAGAGGATTAACCTAGAATCTTTTGATTTATCGATAACTCAACTGGTTCAATTTTTCAAAAATTGTAAACGCAATTTTCCACAATATCAAAAGAAATTTAACTATTTATTTTCAATAACAAACAAATTTTTATCCTTAATAAAAAAGCATGCGCTCTCTTGTTTTGTTGGGCATCCAACCATATGTAGACCGAAATATGCGTGAGAACATTGCAAAATATAAGTGCAAAATAAATTTAAAAATCAATTGCAAAAAAATTATTGATATAACTAGCACAATAATACCATAGAATTAAAATCTTAACATTAATAAGAAATCCTTCGATTCTATCCATTATGTAATGAGCCATATACCAAAATTCATCTATTCAAAGAGTTAGAAAATATCATTTGTTTTTATCAATAACTACACCGAACAAGTTTTTTAAAAATTAATATTTTTTTAACTTTAAAATAATATATATTGCAGTCTTTTTAGTTAAGTGTTGGTTATAATATTTGACATAATTTTTCAAGTTTAGCATAACTTATTTAGAAATCGACATAGTATATCATTATATTGTAATAAGGTATGTGTAAAGGGATAGATAGAGAAAGAAAGAGAGAGAGATTCTGTTAGTATTATTTATTGACAATATTTGAATATGTTAATTTCATTATCTTTAATTATAAACACTAACTCTAAAAAGGACAATATACCTAATGTTACAAAAACTGACATATTTGATATATTAACTATATATGTAATCATTTAGTCCTGTAATTATTACTAATGTCCCAAACCTTGTTTTCAAATATTGCGATTGCAAAATGATTTTTGAACATAGTGATGTATAATAGTATTTGAGGACGAATCCTACTCAATGGGAGAAAAATGATGCATAATAGTATTTAATATTATTATTATTAATATTTTATATTTTACTATTATTATTATTTAATATTTATTAGTTAGCGTCCTTCGTCAATTTCACTCTCAAATTATCCAAAATCTTCCGGTGAAACTGTAAAGTAAGGTGAGGAAAGCCATGTCGATTTACGATCGCGCGACGGTGGCGAAGCTCGCGCACCTGGCCACTGCAGCGGACGGCGCGGTTCTCGGCGTCGTCGTTGCCTACGCGGCGTACCGCAGCATCCGGAAGTACACTGCCACGTCATCCGCCCTAAGCAAAATCCGCCTGGCGCCGGCAGTGCAGGCCTCCGACATCCGCTCGGTTCTGGCCGACGGTGATGTTTCCGGCGGCTCTGATGGAGTTGGCGCTTCCATTTCGCGTTCCGGCGGTGAAAAATTGGTCGTGGTCAGGGGTGCTGTTGAGGTGAAATCTGCCGTGGAGAAGGGGAATTGGAAGAGTGTAAGAGGCAGTGGCTTGGTTGTGTCTCGGGAGACCGGCGACCAGGGCGTGGTCCTTGAGCAAGTTCGCGGAGTATGTTCCACCTTGCATTTTCCTTTTTTACCTATGTTTTTCATGCCTTTATATATCTCACTTGCTCGGTTAGCTATAATCGTCAGCGTGTGGAGTATTATCGAAACCGGTTCTTATTTGATTTTCACACTTCAATGCTTTTCTGCAGACAATTTGAGGTAGGCTTTGTTCCAAACATTTTTATTTTGAAAGTGGAGTTGTTATTTGTTAGTATTAACTATTAAGTTCTGGTTAAATTTCATGCATCTAAGAACAGTGGAGAAGTTTGAACAATCAGAATAAAAATAATCATCACAAAGTGTTCATGCCGGAAAATTAGAGATCGCGACTCGAAGGGGAAAATACATATGATTGATTACATCAGGTTTCGAAGGAAATATAAAATTCGATATGTCACTTCTAGTTCAGCTTATGCATGTAATGTTCGTTGAACTAATTTCTGTGAAATGTAGGACCATCTTGATTCTGACCTAGGGTTCTTGACGATTTCTGTTGCAATTCTACTAGGTGTTGGTTGTTGAACTTATCTGTGATGTTTACAATGCGTTTTAGCATAAATGTTATTTTTAGATTATAAGTGTGAGCCTGTAGCACTGAATCCACTGTCAATCCCCTGATGTAAAAATGTATGTCGTATTCAGAGTGCAGATTAAGTTCCGTTTAATTCTTGTACTGCTCTTTCGTTTTGTATGAAGCAAATTGAAGTGTTCCATGGTACTGCTCATTTTTTGTAAGGGTGTTGCACTGGTTGATATAGGGTTCGATCTAAGTACCACTCAGTTTCTTATGTATCTAGAATCCCCTCTTCCAGTCCCCATGTAACTACTGAAAAAAAAGGCGTTTCATAACTTGCTTAGTGCTTACAGTGCGAAGATGATGTATCTTCATCACTAACCTGCCAGTCTGCCACAAACTTTTTGTCGTCTGCATACCAAGCGTTTAGAGATGTGATTGTTTTTTTTCTTCTTATTCAATAAGTTTACCCTTTTACTGTTTATCTCTTAGTGTATATACAATGAGTTGAGGGGAATCTTCCGGTGGCCATATAATATACGATCCTTGTTCTCACAATCCTGGAAACAGCGAGAGTCTTGCTCCGTAAGAATGGTAAGTTCTTATAATCTGAACAGTCATGAAAATATCTACTTTTAATTCGTCAAATTAATGGAAGATTCGATCTCTTGCTCCCAGTATCATATGTTATAATGTGTGATTTCATAACTTCAAAGAAAAGTAAAAGGCTAAGCTGCTTGTGTGAAATGTAAAAGGCGGCATCAATGGTTGATGCAGAGAGCACTACTTTTCATTTTGAAGTCATTTACAATGATTGCCGAAATCTATTCCTGATGTTAACTACATAATCTCTTAGTTGAGAGGAACATCCTGTTGATTTTACTAGGGCAGACAACAGACAACAAAAAAAAATTTATACCAACTATTGTAGTGTCTTATCAGTTGAAACTTTTTAAGGTATCAGTTTGATTGTCTTTGCCATATCTGCGTATTGTTGCTTTGTAATCACTCCATAATCATTAGTTGAAATTGTTTTGACAATAGGTTACTATCTAAAGTTGGAGATATGTTAATTTATTGTAGAATGCTAGAAGCCTAGAATCATAAGATGCTATGAACATGTCAATAGGTTTTGTTATTTGTTTTCGTGAAATCTGGAGTCCAGAGGTTGGTCACGAGGACATGATTCAGACACGCGCGAATTATTCTTTTCTCCAACTGAAATCTGATGAATACCTGGAATATGCATTTCAGTACGTCCATCATGTTAAATCTGTACATTTTATATATTGTTTATCTTCTAGTTTAAACTATTTACTGAACATTGGTCAATAATGTTAAGTTCGGTGTCGAACTCTGCATGGTTTTTTTTTTCTCCTCAGGTTCCATTTGTTCTTGTGGAGGCGGGAAAACGACCACAGCAATCCGATTATCTTGTTGTCAACATGGAAGGATCAAAGCATCCCCTGCCACTTGTAACTGTTTTTGGGGAGTTGCGGCCTCTTGATGCTTCTCCTTACACTTTCCTTCAGGCACTTTTGGGTCTTCAGTACCCCGTAAGTTCACGCTGATTATATAATCCCTCTTAGTGGTAATAGTTTTTATATATCCGCTCAAAATTTATTAACTAGGGCTAGTTTTGAAAAATATGGTATGGTTAGTTGTTAGTGGGATTTTGAGTTTATATTAAAATGATATTTAAAATGCAATAATTAAAGTTGATTTGATGTAAAAGTAGGAGAGAGATGAAGTAAAGTGATTGTTAGTTTAAATTATGTGAGTGATGAATAGTTAATTGAAGTTGATGTGATGTGTAAGAATGATTGATTGAGATTATTTAATTATATTGATAATATTGAGGATAGTGCGGTTGAATTAAAGTTGAGTTAGATTTTGAATATGAATTGAGTATGGATTGGAAAGATTTATAAACAAAGTAATAAACACCCCCTTTATCTCTAAATATTTAAGTTCAATTATTCTTTCAGGTTGGGCTGATTTACGAAGAGAAAATCCTTCATCTGGGGAAGGTTATCACTGCTGTTGGTGTTTGCGATCTTAAAGATGGGATTCCGGAGATCAAGTCGTGTGAAGATCTTCCTTATTTTCTGTATGTCAATTTCTTTCTCAGATATTTGTCTGCAAGATCATATGTATTTGCCTACTTAAACAATGGTCAACTTCTAAACCTCTTGTTCAATTCGTAAATGTCTCTCCACAAGTCCTTGTGTAGCTTGATTGAAACTTCTCACTTGTTCAAATCTTCTGTCCAGCATTGAAGAAAATACACATTCTCATCTGTTTATTCAACTCCGACAATTCTTGTTTTGTCATTTTTATAGCTGTGACTTAGATTTCACAGGATATGATTACAGTCGTGCTGTGCTTGTAGGTCTGCTATGAATAAGGATGAAATGGTAGCTGATCTTTTCTTCAAGAGTAATGTGCTAATGTGGAGCGGACTGGTTTTCGGTTCTCTAGCTATTGGCATTCTCGGTTATTGTGTAGCAAGGTACATGTCTGTAACCATTTTATGAATTCAGATTTCTTTTTATATTTTTCCCACGTAAACTTGCCGACATTATCAGAATTTCTTTAAAGCATTTTGTTTCTTGGTGGAAAGATGTCGGAAAGCTTTGTGAACGAATATNAGCCTCACTCTCTCTCTCTCTCTCTCTCAAGCTAATCCCAACTCCATTTACCTATGGGCATCTGATACCTATCTATTTTTCGTGCGCAGAAAATGGAAGAAATGGAAAGCACGCAGATCACGGCAACAAGATGACTCAGCAGAAATCCTGACAGATGCTGAGGTGGCAGCACTGGATGAGGAATCGAGTGAAGTGCCCGATGGCCAGCTGTGCGTGGTCTGCCTGACGAGAATTCGGCGGTCGGCGTTCGTCCCATGTGGCCACCTAGTCTGCTGCCACCGCTGTGCATTGATGGTCGAGCGCGAGTCCTCCCCAAACTGCCCTCTCTGCAGGCAGCAGATAAGGAGTACGGTTAGAATCTACGACATTTGAGCTTATTAGAATTCGGTTTACGATATGCACTGCCATTGGTAGAAATTGTGAATGTGTATTTGATTAGGGAGAGAGATTACTGACATGGCCTTGCAGTATATTCGATCTTTCTTTTTTGTTTTGGCTACACTGAGGAAATATTTGGAAAGGGTAAATAGCTAACAGGCAATGTTTATGCTGGTTTTGGACAAAGAAAATGACCACAAGACTCTGTAATGGCATACACTACTTGAAGATGAAGACACGATGACTTGTCACTAATTACTACCTCTTTCTCAGTTGTTTGTGTCAATTGCTGTTATATTAAATGAGTCTGGCTTGGCTCCGCTTGAGCTTGGCTCGAGCTCTTAACAAGCCGAGCTCAAGCTCATTTAAAGCTCGTTTGGTTAACGAGCTGAGCTCGCCTTGGTTCTATAGGCTCGAAAAGAAAATTTTATGTAATTTTCTACAGTTCGGCTCAAAGCTCGAGATCGGCTCGAACTCGACTCGTTAATAGTGATAAACGAGCCGAGCCCGAGTTCGATTTTTGGGTTGTTTATTTCTCGTTTACAGGCTCTATTTTTCGTAGTTACACGAGTTCTTTGATAAATTTTTTAAACATAATACTAGAATAAGAAACTAGATTTCTTTAGCCATTCTTTTTTTTTTTTTNGGGTAGGTAATATGGTTTTGTTGGGTAATTGATGACGACGAGACTGCATTAGCATATCTCGACAAATATGATCGACTTATGCCTTTAGTTTGATTGTTATTATATGTATTACTATTATTTATGTGTTTATTTATTTATGTTGTATAAGGTTTATTATGTTTGGGCTTTTAAATAATGTTGGTTAGGAATATGTTGTAATATATATATCAAACAGATATGTTCTAGGAAGGCAGTTGAATATCAGATTGAAAAGAAAACATCGGTTTCTTCAGTTCAGAGAAGAAAACTTCTCTTCTTACACCCACCGTTTGCATTCCACTACATCATTTGGTATCAGATTCAGGACGATTCTCGATGCCGCCGCAAGGACGAGTTGCAGCAACCGAACGGCGTGATGCCGACATCGACGATCGTTTTCAACGAATAGACGATCGATTTCAGTTGGACAATCGGTTTACTGATCTCTCCACCGGAATCGATGAGATACGTACCGTTCTTGCTACCTTGGTTCGGAATGGACAGACGAACCGTGGCTTCGCCGGAGGCCGTGGCGGACGTGGATTTGGCGGGGCGCCCCGAAAACCGTCTCCACCCCCTCTGAACGGCAGTGACGATGACGCCTCCACTTGGTCGGACAATCCGTTTGCAGCCTAACCACAACGGCGACAAGATGAACCTTGGGGTCCTGACCGTTTTCGCCATCAATGGCCGACTGACCTCGCAGGTCGCGTCGATGACACCGAAACCCTAGGCGATGGTCGATTTTGCGATCAGCAGCGGGGCGGCGGTGGTTCTGTGCCGGAATTAGGGCGCGATGCCCTAGGTCGCGACCGTCTGCGAGGCGGCGATTCTGAATTCCGTCGAGCGGCTGTCGACGGGGATGTCCGCGGAGGGCAGCAACTGGGTCGCCGAGGACCTGCCATGTTTGAGGATGACCGGGCCGACGGCGATTTGTATTGGGGTGGTGGTTTTGGTGCAGGCCGTGGCCATTTTTTTCATCCTGTGCATGAATTTGGTGCCGACAGAGGGACCTTTGATGTTTGCAGAGAAATTGGGCGTGATATCGGAATTGGCAGAGGAAAGTTTATTTTGCCTGATTATGGGCCAGCAGCTGTTTTTTGCATGAGGCCCATTTTCGCAGGCCAGGGACTGAAGGGGATTCCAATAATCGATGGGAATCTTTTTTTCGCGTTGAAATTCCGGATTTTGCCAGTGGGTGATGCTAGTGAATTTATTGATTGGTTAGCTTCCGTCGAGGCTGCCCTTGATTTTAAATGCGTACCGGACAAGAGGCGAGTCGCACTTGTGGTCACTCGACTTAGGGGACGTGCGGCCGCTTAGTGGTTACAATTACAGGGTGCGGCATCGACAGAGCAAATCGAAAATCACTTCGTGGGTGAAATTTCGTAAGTATCTTGAACGTGAATTTTTACCGTGTAATTTTGTCCGTACTTTATATCAGCGTTTGCAAAATCTTCGTCAAGGACAACGCAGTGTGGATGATTATACTGAGGAATTTTATAAACTTTTGGCCCGGGTAGATATTCGTGAAACTCAGGAACAGTTGATTTCTCGTTATATTGGGGGATTGCGCGGATGTGTTGAATATGTTTACACCGGCTTCCGTTTCTGAGGCTCATCAACGGGTTTATTGGTTGAGCAACAGCAAGCCAGGAAGGTGTGCACTTCTTTTGCGTCGTCTACAAAGGAGCCTCTTGGGACTTCGGGTGCCGTGCCGTTTGCGGTGAAGGCTTCGTTCGATTTGAGTACTCCTTCTGAGCCGTGTGGTTGGCCCCACGATGGGGAGTGGTAATCGACAGTCTAGTGGTCCGCGTTGTTTCACTTTGTGGTTAGTCGGGGCATCGCCAAGCACAGTGCTGGAAGGCGAGAGGGTCACGGGCGTTGCTTGTTGACGAGCCAGACTCCACTGCTTACGATGGTCCTCCAATTTTCGATAAAGAGCCGGAGGTTCCCGAAGTGCATGTTTCGGGAGACGTGAGTCACGCGCTTGTCCTTCGTCGGTCTCTTTTGTCTCCCCACTTCTCTTCCGAGGATACGGTCCAGCAACACCACCTTTTTGAATCCACATGCACCATTGGTGGTCGGGTGTGTCGTTTTGTCATTGATCCCGGTTCCTGTGAGAATGTGATTTCGAACGAGGTTGTGACGAAACTGGGCATGTTAAGTGAGCCGCATCCGAATCCGTATGCTCTTGCGTGGATACAGCATGATGATTCTGTCTGTGTTACCCAACGAGTGTTGGTGAACTTTTCTATCAGATTCTCTTATAAGGACATGACATGGTGTGACGTTGTTCCTATGGATTCTTAGCACGTGTTATTAGGACGACTTTGGCAATTTGATCGCTCGGTGGTACAAGATGGACGCCTCAACACATATAGTTTTTTATTTGAGGGTGTTCGCATCGTCCTGCATCCGTCGTCATCCAGTTCTGGTCCTTTGCCATCATCGTCTCCGGTTTTATTCGTCTCTCGCGCCGAGCAGTGTAGGGAGTTATCCGGCTTGTTGGACGGTCGCTCGATGGTCTTTGACGTAGGTGATTTTGTCGACTGGGTCGCTCAGGATGCCGACGAGATTGTGGATTCGAGGGCGAATCATCTCCACCCAGGGGAGAATGATGCCGACGAGATTGCATTAGCATATCTCGACAAATATGATCGACTTATGCCTTTAATTTGATTGTTATTATATGTATTACTATTATTTATGTGTTTATTTATTTATGTTGTATTAGGTTTATTATGTTTGGGCTTTTAAATAATGTTGGTTCAGAATATGTTGTAATATATATATCAAACAGATATGTTCTAAGAAGGCAGTTGAATATCATATTGAAAAGAAAACATCGGTTTCTTCAGTCCAGAGAAGAAAACTTCTCTTCTTACACCCACCGTTTGCATTCCACTGCATCAGTAATACTATCGTTACTAAAATCAGTACAAATTCTAGAAATTTAATGAACTACTGTTCACACCTCTTGAATGGATTATGGGGGTAGAAAGAACTCTTGAATGATTGACATGGAGTAATTCTGATGCAAAACGAATGGTTCTGCTTCAAGAAATCAGAATTTGGTGCCCTGAAATTGGTTCTAAATTTGTTGCCCAAAAATTGATTTCAAATTATAGCGCAGTCGAAGCTTTTAGTAGTTTAAGGCTCTTGCTAGTAAATGCACAATCTGCATAGGTAAACCAACTGACACAAATCATATGCACAAATGAGCTTTTGAAGCTTTGAGCCTTCCACTAAGATCAATTTACTGGTGTAGCTAAGATATTCACATCCATTTTCTCCTTCAACAATCGAGCTATGGGTGAAGGTGAAGTAATTCAAACAAATCATATACACAAGGGAACTTTTATAGCTGTGACTAATATCAATATACAGGTAGAGCTATTGCATGCACAACCATTTTTCTCCTAAAAGAATCGAACTACGTTTTGTCAGCTGTTCAGATCAAATGCAAATGAAGTGTCATGTACAAGTCGTTCATTCATCTTCCATCACCTGCAAAACCAATGAAAAATTCTCATGAGTAGGCAATAAAGAAAATGCATCAGCCAATTGTGAAATACGATTATTATGTGAAGTAGAAAGATGATTTTTCGTGAACGAATATTGTGAAAACTTTGAGAACCAAGAAGGGTAATCCCACCTCTGTAGTCTGTAATAAAAAGGGCATTCAAATTGCTGTCGTAAAGATAAATAAAATAATCAAATAAACCCGTCGGTTTGAGTTTAGAGCCAACACTTGAATAGCTATATCTATTTTCTAAGGCCGGTTAACTTCAAATTTAACCAGATGACTTTCAAATTGTTACAGCAATTTCAATCACGAAAAAACCGAATCAGCTCGAAGCAATCAGCATTAGCAAACTAACCAAAGCACCAGCAACATTAACTTAAAAGATAAAGTTACCTGTGAATTTCAATTGGGTAATTTCCTTTGTCTTCCTTCTATTTAGAGACTGTTTTCCTGCTTCAAAAATCTCCGTCTGCTTATAAGCAAGAAGCCAACAACGCACACTTGGAGCACCACTGCGACTCCTATGAACATCAGCCCGATCTTCTTCCCCAAGTTGAGGCTCGGCTTTCTCCGCGGTGGGGGCGATTTCATCATGTGGGGATCGTGCCGCCTGTGGGGCGGCGGCAGGTGGAGGCGCGTGTGCCGCCGAGGGGGTGGCGGTGGTCGGAGCGGACGCGACGGAACGAAGGGCGGAGACGGCGGAGGCCGCGGATGAGATGGTGGCCGTGGTGAGAACACCAGCGGCGGCGGCGGCCGATCCACAATTCGCTGCGACTCGACGATTACGGAGCACAAAACGAAGATGACCGCGACGGACAAGGTCAACAATGGCGGATCCATGAAAATTACCCGCCCCTTTTTCAATAAAGGGTTTGCGAGTTGGGATGAAAAGGAATTGTAAGGGTTTGAAGTATTTCAAGTTTTGAGAATTAGGGTTTATGGAATTGGGGGTTTCAGAAGGCCATTGATTCTTTGAATGAAGCTCAGCTTTGCAGATAAACACTGCTCTCCGTAATTGCTGCCATTGGATATTTTCATTTTCTCTCACNAAAAACGTAATAAGTAAATAGAGAAACTATAGGTAAAAATAAAATAGAGAAACTATAGTGAAATGTGTGGTATTTATTTATTTATTATTAAAAAATAAATGAGCTTTATTTAGTAAATGATCTTGATTAGTAGTGTACTCGATTCTTATCTCATTAGAAAACGAACGAGCTACACTTGAAGCTAACACTATACAATCATGGTTGTGTTTCATATAATGCCACTAAACTTGGATCATGAAAACACTTCCAGAATTACTCAAGAGTCCAATCAAAAACTGCACGCCACAGGACAAAACCAACTCCCGATCGTTGCAACTTTTTTCTTTCACATCAAACAAGCTTTAAGCAAATGCACTATGTAATGTGCCAACAGTTGTAAGTTTTAGGGCACTTCAAAGAAAAATCAGTCTTGTTAAGCGTCAAAAACACTTCAAGAAAAAATTCGAAGTCTTATTAAGCATCAAAACATAAGGGACCAGTCACAATGTCACATAGAACAAGATTTCGACCAGCATTACATTATTTCACAGCAAAACTTGAAATTAAAGAGTATTCTTGAGAGATAATTGGTGCAATAACTTTCAGTATCTGTGCTCCATCTTTTCCTTTTCCTGGTACCACTGCACATACCTACAAGCACATGAATGTTGAACTTTAAAATTGCTTCACCAGATTACAAGCTTTATTGAATGTGCAAAACAATTATAGAGCTTAATTATAAAGCAGATCGTGTAAAAAAAAATGAGATGAAATGCCAGGGAGACAACTAATGGCTCCTATGTAAGAAAGTCTTTACCAAATACATCAAAATTGAGTTAAATTGTTTGTAAATTGTTACCAACAGGTTGGTGCAATTCTGCAGCAATTGGAGATTGAAAATGAAAATGACAAAGGAAAATTTATCAAAATGAAATATAAACTAAAGAACAAATAGACACCAGAGAACAAATAGGCCCAAAATTTTCAACGCTAAACCTACCTCCCTCCCTGAACACTCTTCCTTCTTTTTGTAAGCAAAACAAATTCAAACATCCTTCAACATTATCAATCAACTCATTTAAGCAGAATCTAAAGACAATTTTCCATATGTTATCATATCGTCTCATTCCATAAATCTTCCATATGTTATCATATCGTCTCATTCCAAAAATCTTCCTAAAAGACCTTCAGCTAACAATGAACAATGCAAATTTCTTAACGTGATATCTCCTATTATTATTATTATTATTATTATTATTGTGATAGGAAGAAGCAACAATTTCATCGGCAACATGCAGAACAGTACTACTGCCCTGCCCAGTCTTTAATATTGCAATAATTACATCACCAAAACCACTATGTTGCTCTATATAAATAACACTCACAAGTCACAACCTCTCATTCTGTTATTTTTAATTCAACTACAAACTACAATTGCATAATTACATAATACGAAGATGAAAATCTTAAAAGATCAGAAACTCGTAAATGGTACTTCCCCAAATTGTCAATGGAAAAAGATCCAACACACACATACCCAGTATATTCCCAACAGGTTGGGGTCTGGGGGGGTCAGTTGTACGCATACCTTACCCTTGTAATTATACAAGGAGGCTGCTTCCGTAGCGACCCAAGGTGCATTGCGCCGTTTGATATATTTTTTTTTCTAGAAACTTCACTAATAGAAGAAGCACTAGAATTTAATTGAGCCATTTTGATCTAGTCCATTATTAGCACTATGCGAGGAGAATTGTCAACAATGACTCTTCCAGCTCCATTTGCAATGGACAAAAAAGATCCAACACACAGTATGATTTTAATCAATTTAGGAACAAAAGCTTACGAGTAGGTTCCAACGAGAGGGCCAAGCAGGAGAGTGGTGCTAATCCAATTATCAGATATCTTGTGCGCGATTTTTCCAGTGAAATCTTTCAAGAGTCCAGGCATCACCTTCTGCTGGAATGGAGACAAAGCATACACCACTGCCTTCATCCTCACTGGTTGCTTTCCCATGTCTCTCTCTGCAAATCTTTACTCCCACTAGGGATCGAAGAAGAAGATCTAGCGATAACAAAACAAACATAAAATGGCAGATGAGGACTAATGTCACTTGCTACCTGCATATATATATATATATATATATATATATAGAGAGAGAGAGAGAGAGAGGACTTCAGCCAATTACAAATCTTGAGTGACCTAAGATCATGGCAATGTACATATGCTTGACTTCAATGAAGAAACAAGGGTTGTGTCTGTGTTTGGTAAACATATAAGCTAGCATATAACTTATTTTATTAGCTTATGAGCTTCTTATATTCAAATAAGCTTGGTTTGGTAGGACGAGTTATTTTAAAAAGCTCGAGTTTATCTCACAAGAAAGATCTTGGGTAGCTTTTTAAATAAGCCCATTGAAATTTTTACTTCAGTTAGCTTATCAGCTAATTTTACCAAACACTTTTATCATATAAGCTAGTTTTTCAGTCATAAGTCATAAGCTATCAGCTATAAGTTTTAAATTCACTTAAAAACTATAAGCTAGCTTATTTACCAAACATAACTAAGAGCCAAGGATAAATTCCCAACAACACTGTTACACTAATAAAAAAAGGTGTCAAATTCAGCCCAGCAATGCCAACAACCTAGTAACAAATACATATAACATATATGAGTGTGGGTGTCAGTGTATGTGTTTTCAACATCAAACTCATTCTTGGATGATAATGACCAACCATAAAAACAACAATAAAAAATCATCCAGTTCCCATTCTCAATTTATAGAGATTATAAAATTTAACCTATAATCGAGAGAGAAGACATTTTTTTCAACTAAAGAAATACATATGCATGCAGAGATACTCTTTTTTTTCCCATTTCAATCCCAGAATCTTTTGTTAAATCGACAACATCCACATCTATAGTTAGATATATGTGTAAAGGAGGTCAAGTGTTTGGAGATTAAGGGTAATTTAATCAATTGTTGACACATATAAGAATATATATTGTTATTTGCTGAGAACATAAAATCTTTACACTGTTTTGGATAAACGGAACCTTTTAGGAGTTGAAGACCCAAACACGGTAGATTAAGCTACAAAATCATTGGCTGCACAAAATCAAAATGTGGCTGTGAACTGAGAATGTAAGACACTGAAAGCAAATTTGCAAACTGTGATTCATATGCTTGGAGAAGACTAATTTGGGTAACCTAAAACTGTCAACTCGAAGATCAAAATTAAATCGAAATTAAAGCAAATTTTCGATTTTTTTTTTTTTTTTGTTATCCCAAATTAAAACAAACTCAGAAAATATAATCGAACCCTAACTGAAGCTAATGATTAAAAATCTATCTAACCCAATTTGAAGCAATTTTTCGAGGATTCAATTGTACCGAAATTGAAGCAAATTATGCAAAATGTTTTCTCCAATGGAGACGTTTCGGCCATAACCTTAAACATGTGATTTAAGAAACTACAAAAGCATGCAAAACGAAAGTTAAGGTAGGATAATGAAGATGACTGACCGATTATTTCGTTTATGCCAAACTTTGGGATTTTTCCGGCGATCGATCAGCAGTAGCGAGCAGCAGAGCGGCGGGCGTGCGTGCTTGCGTTACTTGTGACTTGTTGTGAGTCGCGATTTCCTTGGTTAGGACACCTATAATTGCTTTGTTTGTTGGGCCATTTCTAAAAGGCTTAATAAATTGGGCCTACTAATCAATGTTAGCGGTAAATTTAGAGAATGTACATCAAGCCCAAAAGACAATGACTTTAGTAACCCTATAATCGGGCCTTCTATAATTGATGACGGCCCATAATCCAGATGACAAGCTAATAAAACTGCACACAATAATAACACTCATCGGCGCACAATAGATAAAACCAACGCGGTAATTCTATCGTGCTCCGTTTCGTCTACCCTAATGGATCCCCCTTCACCACACGCATATATATACCTCACTGCCCCGTTAAACCCTGCGCACAAACCACACACATTTGCAAGCCGCCGTCTCTATTTCCTCTCTAAGCTTCCAAGCTTCCACACTAAAAAATGGCTACTCAGATGAGTAAAAAACGAAAGGTAAGTGTGTGTTGTATAGAGTTGATTTCACCTGTTATATACCATTTTATCCATCTGTTAATCCGTTGTTATCGGGAATCAGTTCGTGGCTGACGGAGTTTTTTTCGCGGAGCTGAACGAGCTGCTGACGAGGGAGCTGGCGGAGGACGGATACTCCGGAGTGGAGGTGAGGGTTACTCCGGTGCGCACGGAGATTATAATTAGGGCAACTCGCACGCAAAATGTTCTTGGTGAGTCTCTTTGCCCCCTTTCATTTATCTGGATTTGTATATGTTGAGCTGCTCAGTCTCGATAGCTAGTTGATTTTAGCTTGAATTTTTATAGGCTGTAATGATTAAGCGAATACGGTGTTACTGTGTTGGAATTCATTTGTTGAACTCGTTGGTTGCCCAGTTTTTTTTCCCTGTTATATTGATTGGTTACTTTCTGTGAATTATCTTCTCGGTTAGGCGAGAAAGGGAGAAGAATTAGAGAATTAACCTCTGTTGTTCAGAAGAGGTTTAAGTTCCCTGAAAACAGTGTTGAGCTTTATGCCGAGAGAGTTAACAACAGGGGCTTATGTGCAATTGCTCAGGCTGAGTCCCTACGCTATAAGCTTCTTGGAGGGCTTGCTGTCCGCAGGTTTGCACCTCACTCACTCTATTGTTTATTGTAAACAATATTGTATGCCGAAAGTTGCTCAAAGTCTTCCAAGTAATATTTGTTTAAATAAGGCATTGGTTGTTATGTTTTACTTTATCCAAACTATTTGTTGGATGAAGAATGGAAACCGGTGCTTATAATGATTTTGTGGAGTTAGGTTGGCCCCTTTGCTTGCTCCTGTGTGAACGGGGTTTTCTAATTACTCCCACATGAATATGAAGATCTCATAGTCTGTATGATCTGAATATGGAACTTTTGAGTGCTTACGTAGCATTGATAGTTAGTTGTTCCGTATAAATCAATGCTGATATTGAAGAACTGGAGATTATTAGCCCTGTTCAAATCTCACTTCTAGTTTTCTCTAGAGCATGAAAGTTGCAGTAAATTAGAAGAATTAGATGTGTACTGAATGAAAATATGAAAGTTGCAGTAAACTAGAAGAATTAGATGTGTACTGAATGTAAATATGTAATTTGTGAAAATAGTAGACAATGAAGTCTTATGTTTATTTTCTGTTTGTTCTTGTTATTTATTTATTAACCTTTGTTTATGTTAGTTTTGGAGTCTGAATCCCATATGAAATTTGACATCATATGGCTTGCATTTGTTACTTATTATCTCCATCACACTAAGTTGGATTGGAGATCCTTTTCACCAATGCATATAGCAAGTTTTTGGAGTTTGTCAGGCTTCATGGACTTCTTTCTGTATCTATGAAGTTTGGAAGATTCTCCTACAACTTTTGAATATGGTTTTTATTCCTTAATGTTTGGGCCCTTGTTTTGTAATAATGTGTACTTTGTAAAACACTCACACTTTAAAAGCCTTCAAAATTTCACATTTTCTCGGCTCTCACTATGGATTGTTTGTTTCTCTTCAGAGCCTGCTATGGGGTGCTGCGATTTGTCATGGAGAGTGGTGCCAAAGGCTGTGAGGTATTGGTCAATTTATCCGTTTCTTCCTTCAACAATCAGAATATAATTGCGTGCACCTTTGATTTCTTATTTAAAAGTCGATGCAATATGCAGGTAATTGTTAGCGGAAAGCTTAGAGCTCAACGTGCCAAGGCAATGAAATTCAAGGACGGGTACATGATTTCTTCTGGTCAACCTGTTAAAGAATACATTGACTCTGCAGTGAGGCATGTTCTTCTAAGGCAGGCAAGTTTCTATTTCCTATTTCAATTCCGACATTGTTCTTTCTATTTAACTAGTACAACCTTTTCTGGTAGTTTTTATTACAGATCCTTTTTTCTAATCGATTAAGCCTTGTTTGATCTCACTTGGGTAGAACATTATTGATGTGTGGTAGGGTGTTCTTGGCATCAAAGTGAAGATAATGCTCGACTGGGATCCGAAGGGGAAGCAAGGTCCGGTTACACCTCTTCCTGACCTCGTGACAATTCATCCACCAAAGGAAGAGGAGCATTTCATTGCTCCTCCGCCACCGGCTGCAACTGAAGTTGAAGTCCCGTTGGCAGTGTAGATATGTGATTTGAAATAGTTGTCGGTTAAACTATTTGCTCGTTTGATGATTTTTTTTTTTTTTTTTTTTTGGTTTTGGTTTTGGATGTTTTTGGTGATTATGATGACTGAGGTCCACTCTCTCATGTTGTACTTTCTAATGTTTAATAGTTGCATGGAGAAATGCTTCTTGGGTAGTATTGTATGGTTGTTTCATACTTAATACTATATGCAGATCCTTTTCAGTTTTTACTGGTTTTTTTGTCTTTTGGTATTCACAAGTACACTCCATTTGAGTTCTCCTTCGGGGCTGTTTTGACTTTGCCTTAACGATAAGTGGTGAAATAATAGAGAAAATTGCATAGTTACACTCAAATTTTATTTTCTTTGTGTTGTCGATATTTTTTGTCATGATGATATTTTTTATTAGCCTTTTCCTTGGTAGCTTTTTGCCTTGTTGGCCCTCGATAAGCCACACTGACCATACCTTGGGGACTCACGACCACCCTAAGGTTAAGACTCATCTTCGGGCTTACCGTAGTTTTTGCCCTTGTTTCCTCATACTCGAACCCTCTAATCGGACCCTCATGAGAGTTCATGGCACCAATCTCTCACTTGATATTTTTGTTATAAATCTGTCTAACTAATTTAAGTTTCATATAATCCCGTTGCATTTGCATCTATCTTACAAAAACTGTTGAATTGTTAGTATTTGATTGGCAAACAATACGAAAGGGTTCATTCAATGTTGGATCACAAATTGTTTCACAATAAATTCAAGGGCATGAAAACCCGTTCACAATTTGGGAGATCTAAATTTATCGATTTCAAACTTTTAGTTTCGACCAGTGTATCAATTATGACTGAAAATTAACACCAATTACACTCTTCTTGATATTTGAAGATATGACCAATAAAAAAGATATATGAGAAGCTCTCAAAAATGAATAAAAACTGAAAGAGGTGAAAGTTATTAAATTTCTGCTACAAACTTGTTTCCATTTTCGTAGATGATCGAGACAAAAATTTAAGTTTTTTTTCACTATTTTTATTATATTGTCCACTGTCATAACTCACAAGTTAAAACTAATAATACGTTGTAAAATACGGTCTCTTCTTTTCACTCTAAACCAAAACTAGAAGCTCTACAAATCCAAGTATGGCAATAAATCTCTTTCACTGACATAACTCCCAAGTTAAAGCTTATCTGTTACTTGTTCTGCTCAAGTTTATCAATCCAAGTAAAACACTTCTCTTTTCATTGCTAATCAAACCTGCCACTAAACTAAACCACTTCTAAAAACTTACTTTGAAACTCAAGAGCGCATTGAAAACAAAAAGAACGCGACGAGAAACAACTAAGGATGCATTGATTAGATAAACACATAACAACATCTTCACATCAAATAACAACAAAATTTCAAAATTAAACTATATCCGATATTAGTCTCGGAAAGCCCACAAAAAAATTTCCATTTAAAAATTCCCTGTCCAATTCAGGTGGCCCAATTGAGTTTGCTGGTAGGCACCCATTTGTGGCCCGGAACTTGGTGCCGCCACACCAACCCCAACACTGCCACCCATATTGGGCCCCCCATGGTGAGGCCCAGCAATGGGCCCAGGCTGAGGTGGCGGATGGTGATACATACCAGGGAACTGCACGTGAGAAGATTGAGGGGCTGTGAAAGAAGCATGATGATGACCACTATGTGATGTCAGATAACCGGTGGGATGAGGTGTCTGCCCCGGCATATTGTAATATGAAGCCGACTGAAGTTCTCTTGGGTTCATCCAAATTTCAGATGTCTCTGCCTGTTAAAAAGATGGGAAAAAAGATCGGAAAAGATAAAAATGAAAAAATATATATGTAAGGGGAACAAGTTTGTTATTAAATTGGACATTTAGGGCAGTGATTGGATATGAATCCAACCGGTTATGATCCAATTTGCCTAGTTAAAATGAGTTATTTTGAATAAAGTTGATTGAGTGAATAGTTTTGAGTTTGTAATTAAGTAACATTTAAAAATGTAATGATTAAAGTTGATGTGATGTAAAAGTAGGAGAGAAATTATTAGAAGTGATAGATAGTTAAAATTAAGTGAATGGATGAACAATTAATTAAAGTCGATGTGATGTGTGAAGATGATTAATTTGTATTATTTAATTATATTAATTAAAAAGTAGGAGAGTTGGGTTGAGTTGATTTTGAAATGTAGTGATTGGAAACAAAATAACTCGATTCGTGATTAAAAAAAGAGAGAATATGCACTCAACTTTGTTTGACAATCATGGCCTCTTAACTTTTATAATTTCCGTGACGATATTTGTCACAATTTCATCATCAAAAAGTCAGCAAGCACGTACGATAAGAACCAAAAAGTAAATAAATAAAATAAAATAGTCAATTCACCTGAGGGTTTGGGACATAAAGATTATCTTTATATTTTATCCGGGACAGCTCATCATTACCCGTATTGATGGTATAGCCAGACGGGCTGGTGAAACTCCCGAAAGCAGTGGGCCCGCCAGCTGGCACAGGCTTGAACGGCTGGACACCATATTTGACACCGCTGGCCGTTAGGTGATGGGCACTGTTACCGGGCATCAGCACATAGCCGTTGCCGTTAGACGGGTGAGGATAGGCGGGGCTATTAGAGTAGCCCTGGACAGGCATTGGAGGCACGTAGATTGGAGATACAAACTGGCGATATGGCATTAGGTTGGTAAACTGAAGCTGAGGATACATCTGGGCCAGCTGTTGCTGTTGTTGAACCATTGCAATTGACGAGACGGGAATTACGTTTGATGTGTGAGTGCTGGGGACCTGTGAAAAGGAATGAAAGAGAAAAGCATAACTAGCAAGGTCTCAAAGTTCGATTGTAACAAAAATCTTGCATACTGCATATATTCATTTCATTCAGATAACAGAATAAATAACCAGAATATATTTTTTTTTCCCATATATACGGATACCCACAGGCATTTTCCCTTTTACCGACTCCACCATCCAAAAGGGGTATGTAAATATTACCAAGAGGGGGACAGAAGGGGTATATGCTACTGAAACTTTGATAGATAAACTGGAATTCGGTTTGAAATTAGGGTAAATCTCAGGAGCAGCCTTTTGGAACTATTCGACTATTCATACTATTTCTACAGAATATGATAAAATTGTGACAATCATCCTGTTGTGGCCATTATTCTAATATAAAGAAGTTAAATTCCTATTTGAGGTAGCACAGACAACTACAAAATACGCTTCTAGGCAGTAACAAGTGACTGTCCCAAAATACGCTTCTAGATTACACAGCATCAAGCATATTTACAGATCTTGTGTGTGTGTGTGTGTGTGTGTGTGAGTGAGAGAGAGAGAGAGAGAGAGAGATTGCAATATGGGTGTATATTTGANAAATGCGATTCAGATACTACACTAAATCAGAACAACAGTCCAACAGAAAACTATGATAGTCTTTAAACCACAGCTCAACAGTGAGTAATAAATTTAAAAAAGAAAAAAGAAAATTCAAAATTAATCAGACTCACGGAGAAGCTTGGCAGTTCAGATGTGTCTTGCTGCTGTAGTGTTTCAGGGGAGTAAGATGGGCTATTGTCCCGTACTAGGCCAGAATCGGCATAGTTACCCATATCCTGGGGCATTGAAGACCCTTCATTCTCAGTCGGTTGATGATCAGATGTACCAGCAGAAGCAGGGGAATCAGACACTGAACCTCTAACATAATCATCCATCGTCTCTAACGGCTTGCTACCACCAACCTGCTCATCTCTCGATGATTCTGGGGATGAGATGGGTACGCTGCAAATGCATATTGTTTGTGGTCAATTCTACTAGGACTTGATCGTCATACTAAAAAATCTCCATCAGAAAAGGCGAATATTGAACATATATGGAACATATCTTGAGTATTTTTTTTATTCAAATAAGAAACAACCAGTATTTAGAATTGTCCCCAGTAAAAAAAAAATTATATCACTAAAATCTTTATTGGCAAGGAAAAATGGAAGTAACTAAGTAAATAATATCACCACAGAACAATGACTTTTGCAGCTAACTCAATTTCATAAATGCACAACAGAAACAGATTAGATGAGCAATTTTCTTCAGCAGTACCATAAAATATCATTAAGCTTACAATAACACAAGTTATAAGCAAAAAACAACCTTCCAGCAGGATTGATAGATAGAGCTTCTGCACCCACATTCATCGAATTTGCTGATGTACCTAAATCAGTTCCGAGGCTGCCAAAGGTCAGTCGACATCTGTCCGTCTCAGAAACACGGATATGTGCAGCTATAATCACATTCTGATTTTCAGATACGTTTAATCGTGACACACTATCTTCTATCTGAGGTTCCTCCTTTCTCAATATATCTGGCTTATCCGAAGGAGGAGAAACAGTTTTTACAGGGCTTCCAATAACCCCAGGACCACTGGCACCCAGTTTTGCAGTTGCTTTTGGCTTCCATTCTTTATTAGGCTGCGAAGCTACAAAATGAAAGCTTCAGCCTTCAGTAAGTTCTCCGAAAACTAAATACAATTGCAGGAGTCAGAGTCAGAAAATGATAATTGAACTGCATATCCACAATTTTATATAAATCAGAAATGTAAAACAGATTAACATCTCATCCACTACTATCTTCCACGATAGCTACCTCGATCTAGAGAGTTCATTTTTGTTCTTTGTTTTCTCACTTGTATGCAAATGAGCTATGATGTCCATTATCATCTCACGAAAATCATAACCAAAAGTGTACCAAAAAGTAATTCTCAATTAATACAACAAGATGGTGCTATATTACAAAAACTGATTATGGTTCCAAGTAATTTGAAAAAAAAAAATAAGAGATTTCAAACAAAATAAAAAATTGCTATCAGACCTTTCTGATGACCCGTGGGTTGATGAGGTCTGCTACTACCATACTGATGATTGCTTGCGAAAGACTTGCTCACAGGTACAGCAGACACAGGTGCAATATTTTGATTCGCCTGTTCACTTTTAGATATATCATTGAATGATCTTGTTGACTCCCGTGATTGACCGTCTCGTCCTGACTGTTTATTGGGCAAACGGTTGCTCTGAGATGCCGATGACTTGGCAGAATTGTCAGAAGACTGACGACGAGGTCCCACAACTCCAACCTCCCGCCTGATGGCCCCAATATTGGCAGCGGGTCTCGAATGAGGAGATGGCACGTGAACTGGATCGGAATTGGATGAATAAACACCAACAACAGAACTACTGGAAGAACCTGCCGAGTATGGTTGAGAGCCATTCGCCTTTGTTTCCACCCGTGATGTAGCACTTGTTTTCGGGAGGTGCTTCTCCCCAAGAATTTCTTTCCCAACCTTAGCTTGATCCGGTTTTGTAACAGCAGGATTATTAAGAGCCCGAGATGAATGCTGACCAACTGAAGGATCTTGATGTCCAGAAGTTTCAGTTGAACTGCTGTAAAGAATGAAGTTTTAAACTAATGCTCAAGCCAAGCACAGAATTTACATAATTTCAACTTTAGTTTGAGGGGTGCAAAGGATACCCAGTTTTTCTGTTCTCTGGTGTATTTTTCCATTATTTATTTTCCCCATGGCATCTGTGCACGCAGGGAGTAATAAAAGGAGTGTCCCTCATAAGGCTACTAGGATAGTTAGGAAGAAGCATTTTATAAACTCATGTCATGGTGACTGAAACGTAAATTAGTATGATAATAGAACAATTACTTCATTAAAATTACCCTGGTTGATTATGCTAAGAACATCATCAACATCTTAGCAGACGAGGCAGTTACACGTGGAAGCGAAAGAACTAGCACAGTTAAACAAAAGCCAACTTTATTATATTACCTCATGGTAGAACCGCTGGAGATAACCACCTCGCTTGCACCTTGAGCAGGTTTTGAGTCTGCACTAGAATTCTGATTGACTCTATTGTCTCGGACAACACGAAACTCCTGGCTTGCTCCTGCATCCAGTTGAACAGATTAAATAAACGAAATAGGGGTTGAGTACAAAATCACAAAAGCAACAGAATAGCAGGAAGATAAGTCAGCCCTAACGACTTTGGGTGGTCTGGGTTCCCTTTGTTTCCTGAGGCAGCAATGATAAGTCACCATATTTGCGTATTTTCTGATACATGTATTAACATTTGAAGCACAAATATTTAATCCAGAATAGATTTTGGAGTCTAACTCATAGAATCAGAGAATAAAGTAAAAACTTCCCACAGTACACATAAGAATCAGCGAGTGGAAGTGGGATGATTTCAGGAAAGGAAAATATAACAAACTTTTCATCTGGAGTCGGTCGGCAACCCATAAGGAAATCAGCATTCCAACACCACAATATTGAAAGTAAAAGAAACAGCAGAACTGCAGAAGTATACAGGAGATCATATTACCAGTTACAGTAGTTCGACTATAACCACTTCTTCGAGCATTACGATCGGAGTAAGTACTATTCTTCACCTGCATACGTGCAGGCTCAGGGATTTTCAGAGGCTCTGGTGTAGCAAAGCTCTTATAGGGTGCAATCTGGGGGCAAAATACACAACAAAGAGAAGTTCAAACATTAAAGGAACACATCCGAAGAACAATAGACAAAATTCAGGGATTAACAACTAAATCAACCAACAATAGATTGAAACAAACAAGACTACATACTTTAAGTTAACAGAAATGAGCTCAAACATCTAGCATCTTAATAGGACCATGATAAAC